TTTTTCTCCAGGGGAAAAAAAAAATTCAAACCGAAAGTAAGACGATAACAAAAATGAAAAACACGAAGGTTAGGGGTGGGAAAAAAACTTTCTCTATAAACGAGGAGGTCGTCCCACGGTCCTCCTTTTTATGTGACACCCCATACTTCCCATGCGTAGGGAGGGCTATTCATTTTCCTTCGACGCCCCAGCATATTAATGCGACCTCACTGATTTACTGCTCGAAACAAAAAGAAGAAACTTACTTTATATCATTGTGATCCACTACAGAGGAGAAGAAATATAAAACATCACGTGCTCTATGCGAACAGAGGCTTTACCAGTGAGTTGCTCTATGCGAACAGAGGCCTTGCCAGTGAATTGCTCTGTGCGAACAGAGGCCTTGCCAGTGAATTGCTCTGTGCGAACAGAGGCCTTGCCAGTGAATTGCTCTGTGCGAACAGAGGCCTTGCCAGTGAATTGCTCTGTGCGAACAGAGGCTTTACCAGTGAATTGCTCTGTGCGAACAGAGGCCTTGCCAGTGAATTGCTCTGTGCGAACAGAGGCCTTGCCAGTGAATTGCTCTGCGAACAGAGGCCTTGCCAGTGAATTGCTCTGTGCGAACAGAGGCCTTGCCAGTGAATTGCTCTGTGCGAACAGAGGCCTTGCCAGTGAATTGCTCTGTGCGAACAGAGGCCTTGCCAGTGAATTGCTCTGTGCGAACAGAGGTTTTGCCAGTGACGAAGCTATCGGCAGCCTGTCTGTTTCCCTTTCTTTTTGTACGGAAACTCGCATGTCTTAGTCGTGGATGTAGTTTGCGCGATCAATAAGAAATGGTTATGTACTGTAAGGAGAGAGAGCGGACATGCAGGGCCACATCTGTGGATCTTCCTGTCTGCTCTCATACCTTTTTTATCGGTTTAGAACTGATCGACCACGTGATGAAAGAACCCTTGCATTCGGAATCTCTCGGTGTTTAAAAGTTCTTGGTGACGCAATAGCGCGCTATAGTTTTTGTTATATCTACTTCTTTTATTCTGCCGTCGCCATTGGTCGATGATAATCTCCAGTATGTGCATACCTACAGAAGAAGTTTCGTCTCTTACGTTCCATGCATTAAGAGGTAACACGTTTCACAAACAAAAGAAGAAACAAAGAACTTTACACTAAATTGTTTGTATCATTTAGCGTGTTTGAGATTTTTAACGTGAACCTTGGCTTACTTTAGAAAGGATCTGATAACAACAACAAAAAAAAAACAATGATTCGCGGTGAGTAGTTCATATATTTCGAGAATCAAAACAATCCTAGATTGTATTATAATGAGTGTGAAATTTTAATTTCTGAGGTCACATTTTTATTTCTAGATTTCTGTTTTTTGTAAAGCACAAAACTACACAATGGATTATATTTGTGCTCTGCCTACCGTGGGTATCGAAACCCGATTTTTAGCGTCATGAGTCACCTGTGGGAGATTTAAAAATAACATATATTCACCAAACATAAATACTACTACAGTTGGTAAGATACAAATAATTAGTGTATAACTACTACTACTACTACAGTTGGTAAGATACAAATAATTAGTGTATAACTACTACTACTACAGTTGGTAAGATACAAATAATTAGTGTATAACTACTACTACTACTACTACAGTTGGTAAGATACAAATAATTAGTGTATAACTACTACTACTACTACAGTTGGTTAAGATACAAATAATTAGTGTATAACTACTACTACTACTACAGTTGGTTAAGATACAAATAATTAGTGTATAACTACTACTACTACTACAGCTGGTAGATACAAATAATTAGTGTATAACTACTACTACAGCTGGTATGATACAAATAATTAGTGTATAACTACTACTACAGCTGGTATGATACAAATAATTGGTGTATAACTACTACTACAGCTGGTATGATACAAATAATTAGTGTATAACTACTACTACTACTACAGCTGGTATGATACAAATAATTAGTGTATAACTACTACTACTACTACTACCATAACAATTGTCGTTCATGAAAACTGATTATATATCGCACATACCACTATATGTCTGTTGTATCTATACGTCTGTTGTACCTTATGAGCCCACCTGGTATTGAGCGAAAGGCCTCGTCGGCATTTTGAACGCTATATTTGGTGTAGTTGACATAACACATTATCCTTTGTTGATTAATACACAATACGCTTTTTGAAATGAATTATTTTTCCCTTTAGACATTGCATTGTTAGTAAGAACTCTTTATAGAAATTGTTTGCGTTAGATAACAATTAGAAGTAAAGTTTCATGAATAATGCATGAAATATAACGAACGGATAATGTTTAGTATATCCCCTAATTTTAGTCCAGATTCTAGATTTATCAAGCTAAGCTACTTCCGCATAAGCAGGCCATTTTTTTTACGTGTTATAGAAACGTGCACATCTGGTTCGTGTTATGAATGTTCTGTCAATCTCGCGTTCGTGTATGCAGGTTTCCTAGATGTAAATCTGGTATATCTGGTTTTCTCTGTGTGGGTTCACATGCACGTGTATGTACTCGTATGGCTACTGAAGTAACTACTGAACAAGGGAAACTCCATGAATATGTAAGGAAAGAAGTGTATACTCTCATATACTGATGTTTTCATATATATGTATGATGTATAAGTACACCAAGGTTCTACTACCTCACTGATTAGTCACGAATTGTATCAAAATTAAGATTTAACAATAACTTTGTATAAAACTAACATTAAGAGCAATGTAAAAACCTATTTTACCTATGGTTGACTGGGGGAGATAATATGTGGCAGTTCGAGAATCTGTTTGACTACAGCTGAGCTCTAAGTTAATCAGTGAAGTCTGACTTTCGAAACGTCCCCCCTCCCACACACATATGAATTTTTTAGCGTGGGTGCCGAAAATTGTTGGTTATTTTAACAGTGGGAAAATTTGAGTACTTAACTACTGGTTGCTGAACGCCTTCAAGTTTTGATGACAAGGAACCCAAATTTTAGAAGATAAAGTTTGGATATGGGTAGTGAAAGAAACTTTATTACAAATGTACAACGTTTCGACAAGCTTTGGTCATCATCGGGTACTCTATTCTTGTTGTCACTGGCCATTCGATTAGGTCACTGTCGCAAGGATAGTTCATTTCCCGGCGCATCTAGGTACCTTCTCCTGATGATCACAAAAGCTTGTAGAAACGCTGTACATTTATAATAAAGTTTTCCTCACTACCCCTTCAAACCGTCTCCAAGCTCTACTCCCTTCTAGGTTTATCTCAACAGACTCGTATCTGTGTGTTCTTACAAATCTCCACCCAATTGTTTAATAACCCAGAGGTCGTATCTATTAAGCTTCGCTTCTCTCGGACAGCTATTCAATTTCAATTAAACGTTATTAATTATCCATTTAAAGAAAAAAGCTTTTAGTGAGCGTTTATCCTTCAGATCTTAGGGCCTGGCATGGCCTAGTGGTTAGGACAATTCATTCGCAAGCTGCTGGTCATCCGTTCGAATCCCGTCACCGAACATGCTCGCTCTTTTAGCCGTGGGGGCATTATAATGTGACGGACAATCCCACCATTATTCATTGGTAAAGAGTAGCCGAAGAGTTAGCGGTGAGTCGTGTTGACTAGCTGCCGTCCCACCATTATTCATGGGTACAGAGTAGCCGAAGAGTTAGCGGTGAATCGTGTTGACTAGCTGCCTTCCCACCATTATTCATGGGTACAGAGTAGCCGAAGAGTTAGCGGTGAGTCGTGTTGACTAGCTGCCTTCCCACCATTATTCATGGGTACAGAGTAGCCGAAGAATTAGCGGTGAGTCGTGTTGACTAGCTGCCTTCCCACCATTATTCATGGGTACAGAGTAGTCGAAGAGTTAGCGGTGAGTCGTGTTGACCAGCTGCCTTCCCTCTAGTTTATCACTTTAAAATAGAAACGTTTAGCGCAAAATTCTGCAGACAATCAAACAAAACTTCAGGACTTACAGCTATCACATAACAGCATGCTACTGTAATGACTTGTAAAGGGCTCCCTTGTTTTCCAAGTCTGTAGGTCTAATAATTGTAAACTGTACTTCTTATCCCATAACCACGCATACAAACTTTTCTTAAAGTGTTTTCAACCCGAATACGAAAGATAAAGATAAATTTGTTTCCGTTATTTATTTCCACTAGAAGGTCTGTCTTCGTTAATTCGTTACATACTTGATCCATTAAAATTTTTTATGTCGTTTTTGTTAGTTTTTTTATTCATCCTCTGCCTTGTGTTGATTGGCTCAGATCAATATTTTGTGTCCCCAGTGGCTTAGCGATAAGTCTATAGGCTTATAGAGCTGCCCCCCAGTAGCACAGCGGTA